TATCCTTAGGATCATCCATGTGTCATATTGTGGAGTTAGGATAGAGTTTCCTAGAAATCATGTATAGAGTTCGCTAGGAATTTCTAGTATGAGTGAGGACATATTATATATATGGGAATTTTTTTTATGATGAACTACTTTCTTGAGCTATAAAGCATGTTGCGGGTGATAAGTGATATTATTTTCCTATTGATATATGTTATGATATATTTATTTTTGGGATCATATTAATAAGTTCTACTTCTAAACTTATAGATGTCGGGAAGAGGACGTGGACGCAGAGGTGCTCGTGCTCAGGGAGCTGAGCAAGATGATAGAGAGCCCGAGCCACAGTAGGCTCCACAGTACTTAGCGGATCTCATAGCACATTTGGCAGCTCGACTGGTAGTGATTGAGGAGCAGTTAGCAAATGAGGCTCAGCAGGAGGCACCCATTCGGGAGGAGACACCCATTCGGGAGGCGACACCAGAGGGGACATCAATAGATACACCACCACCACCAGTTAATGATGGAGTAGATAAGCAAGAGGCTTAGCTTCGTCTGGTAGAGAGATACCAAAAGTTGAAGGTACCAGAGTTTACTAGTTCGTCAGATTCCATTACTGCACACAAATTGAAGGAAGATGTGAGCAACATTTTGGATATGCTTAATGTGAATACTATGCAGAAGCAAAGGCTAGCAGCTTTCAACCTCACGGGTGATGCAGGAGAATGGTATTGACTTCGTTTCACTCCAGAGTAGAGGATAACGGTTTCGTGGGAGACTTTTGTATACTTCTTCGTGAGCAGTATGTATCGACTGTAGCGAAAGCCGGGAAGGAGTTGGAGCTAGCCCGGTTGGAGCAGGGGGATATGTTCGTGATGAATTTTGAGAGTAAATTTATGACACTACTTAGATTCATGGGCATGTGGCACACTGAGGAGCTGCAGACTCAGATATTTATGATGGGGCTTCACCCAGGTTTACGTTGATAACTGGTATCACGGAGAATTCGATCAGTTTGGGAGGTAGCAGATGCCGCCATGGCTCAGGAGACAAACTCAGCTATGTTCCTAAAGGGCAAGGATGGAAATGTTAAATCAAGATAGCCTAGGGATAAAGGTAAAGGTAAGAGACCTTTTGCAGAACCAGGAGGATCCTAGCAGCAGGGTAAGGGTCCACATCAGCATGGTCCCCATAAGATGGGACATCAGCAGGATACCCATAAGATGGGACATCAGCAGGATCAGAGGGCGCAATTGCAGTGCAGGTTTCAGGGGACTTGTTATAATTATAACAAATTTGGACACCGAGCATCCGAGTTTTAAAGTGCACCTTCATCAGGCCAGCAGGGCAAGAATCATCATCAGCAGTAGCAGCACCATGCTCAGGGCCGAGGCCAGGGCCAGCAGTTGAGGATTGAGGCATTGCCAGCAGTCCCGAGGATTAAGAGATAGATGCGAGCTATTTAGGAGGTCCAGTAGGGACAGATAGTCTCATACGTTCCAGACGATGCAACACAGCAACTTTCGGCTATTAGTAGAGTATATGCAGTTGTTCCTCACGACCATGGCGTGAGCGGGGCTATGGTGGAAGTACGTTCATTGTGAACTCCTTTCCAGCACATATTCTTTTTGATTCTGGCGCTTCGCATTCTTTCATCTCCTATGAGTTTATGGTTAGACTCCAGCTTATAGCGCAACTGTTAGATATTCTGTTATATGTACCTACTCCTTTGGGAGAGATGTCTCTTTTAGAGAGTATTTGTAGGAGATGTGTCGTCAGCTTAGATAATTCTGAGTTCGTGATTGATTTGATCATGTTACATATGTCTGAGTTCGATGTTATCCTCGGTATGGATTGATTATCTTCCTACCATGTGCGTATCAACTATTTTGCGAAGACAGCCAGCTTGTGAGCTAGTGATGGATCTGAGTTGGTGGTAGCGACCTCACGGGGCAACCAGATTGTAGAGTCATTTTTGACATACGGAGAGGAAGTGATGTTGCGGGATCAGAGCGTAGATTTGAGTGAGATGTGAGTGGTCTCAGAGTATTAGGATGTCTTCCAGGACATACCAGGTTTACCTCCAGTGAGAGAGGTCGAGTTTTGCATAGAGTTACAGCCAGGCACCGCACCGATTTCCTGACCACCCTATCGTATGGCGCTTACTGAGTTGAGGGAGCTCCAGATCCAGTTAGATGAGTTGTTATCTTAGGGTTTCATTCACCGGAGCCATTCTTCGTAGAGGGTGCCGGTCCTTTTCGTGAAGAAGAAGGACTGGTGCATGCGATTGTGTCATCGATTATTGCGAGTTGAACAAGGTCACTATCCGGAATAGGTATCTACTACCGAGGGTTGATGACTTGTTCGACCAGTTACAAGGAGCGTCATGTTTCTCGAAAATAGATATTCGTTCTGGTTATCATCAGTTACGGGTTCGAGAGATGGATGTTCCTAAGACCACCTTTCTGACTCGATATGTGTCTTTCGAGTTTCTTGTTATGCTATTTGGGCTGACCAATACACCCGTAGTATTTATGGATTTGATGAATCATGTTTTTTATCCATATTTGGACCAATTTGTGATAGTGTTTATCGATGATATACTTATTTATTCGAGGTTAGAGGCCGAGTATGAGCAGCATTTGCGGTTAGAACTATAGACTTTGTGGGAGCACCAGTTGTACGCTAAGTTTAGCAAATATGAATTTTGGTTATCTGAGGTCAGATTTTTGGGTCATGTTATCAGTCGGGAAGGCATTGTAGTAGATTCGATTAAGGTGGAGGTCGTTCTTGATTGGGAGTCGTCGAAGACCATTACTGAGATTCGTAGCTTCTTAGGTCTGGCGAGCTACTAAAAGAAGTTTATTCAAGATTTTTCGAAGATCGCGACACCACTTACACACCTTACAAAGAAGGATGTACAGTTTGTTTGGGGAACAGAGTGTCAGAAGGTCTTTGAGACTTTGAAGGCTAAGTTAACCTCAACGCCGGTGTTGATTCTTCCGAGCAGTGATAAGACTTTTGTTATCTACACTGATGCATCATTATCGGGTCTTGGAGGTGTTTTGATACAGACCTAAAGAGTTGTGGTCTATGTTTCGAGGCAATTGAGGACTCATGAGCAGAATTACCCCACGCATGACTTGGAGCTGGCAACAATGGTCTTTACAAGAAGTACGTGGAGGTATTATTTGTATGGAGTATACTTTGAATTATTTACAGATCATCAGAGCTTAAAATATCTCTTTTCACAAAAAGAACTTAACTAGAGGCAGCAACGATGAATTGAGTTTATAAAAGATTATGAGTTTGCACTTCAATATCATTCAGGAAAAGCGAATATTATAGCGGACGCATTGAGTCGGAAGTGTCGTCATGGACTTACGTCTTTGAGATGTTCATTATAACGAGACCTTTATACCACCAGCCACTATGATTTCATGCCAGAGATTGGCGGGGGGAGGGG